TGCAGTTTGGTCAATTTGCATATTAGCCTTTTATTATATACTAGGAGCCCAGTGGACAAAATCACGTGGCCCCGCCCACCCACCCACTTGCCACCCTGCCTTGACACCTGAACCTCTCCACACAGAGCTTCAGCACACTTGGCCCAGCCCCTGACCCCTCTGGACTTCTCTGGTCGCTTCAAGCCCCGCCCTCAGTCCCTTGTGGTGCCTCGGGCTGGTCCCGCCTTCTCCAGGCACCTCCCCACTTCTGCCCTGTCTCTGGAGCAATGTGGCCACTCCTTCCTGTCATGGCACCAGAGGAGAGCGTAGTAGCCTCCCACCTGCTGTGCTGTGCTCCTTCCCTTGGGAGGTGGGTGGCTGGGTGCTCTGAGTGTGAGCAGTGGGTGTGAAGGACTCATGAGGAGAGTGCTACAAGCTTTCACCTCTGCCCTTCCTGACACAGGATGGTCCCACCTCCTCCGGGTGCCTCCCCATCTCCGGAGCAATGCCCCACTGCACATGCCTCCTGTGATTGGTTGTGACGTTAGGGCGGCTGGGCTAATTTGCATATGCCTCTATTATTATGTAGGATGATCTAGAGAACTGCTTTTGCCAGGGGCTTGTTCTATTCGGAAATGAAATGTTCTTGTTGCAGGAAGAGGAGCTTTTAATGAAAGGATTATACTTTGGAAGAAAAGAACATGCTCCAAAGTAGAGCAATTGGAATAATTGTTTCTCCTTTCAGATAAACACAACCGTGCTTCAATTCTGAAAATAAGGAAAATTTTCTCGAGTAAAACTTAACTGCCTGTAAAATAGCAAACGTCATTAACCTGCCCATAAATCTTTTCTGCTAACACAATTTCTGCTCCCACCTCAATTCCTGTTCATGGTGTTGGCTGAAAGGCAAAGAGACTACACCTGCGTTGGCTCTCTGGCTGCCACACTCTACTTCCAAGAGGAAGAGGTGAGATCAGTGTCATCCTTGAGTCTCCATACCTGTCTGAGGCCCTGCAGGCCACATTCATGGAAAATCCCAAAGCTGCTTGATAAGTGGGAACACTGGCTGCTAGGTTGAGGAAGAGGGATGTCTGCAAAACCTAAAAAAAGAAAAGAAGGAGGAGGCAAAGGAGGAGGAGGAGGAGGAGGAGGAGGAGGAGGAGGAGGAGAGGAAAGAAAGGAAGCTCTTTAAAGAAATGTGTTCTCTCTGATTCCACAAATCAAAATTGTTCTTCCCTGGTACCTCTCCTGCAGGTGCTACCCTGGAATAAGTAATCATGACTGTGCTGATACCATGTTGACAGAGACCTGACTTTGCATGGAGTGTTCACTTGGCAATAACAGAATGCAAACAGGTGTGGTAGGCAGTTAGCAGACGTGAACAGAGCAAGGGCGAGGGGCGAGGTACAGAAGGTCACCAGGGTGGTAAGCCCTGGGTGGGTGCCTAGCAAGGGGCAACAATGAGAAAACAAGGACCTCGCCCCCGGAGGACCTTTCTTCCCCAGCATATGGCTGGTCATGCGGTTTAGACCCCTTGACCTTTCATATCGCTGGTCATGCGGTTTGGATCCTCCCCTGACATTTCCTCCCTTGGCGTGTTGCTAGTCATGAGATAGACCCCCTTGGGGGAGGAACAAGGGACCCAAGTGTGGCCTCATGTGACTCCCATGGGGGCCCTTGCACATGTAACAATTAGAAAGTTTTTTCTATCAAAATTATAGTTTAGATATTAACTCCATTTCCTTTTTATAACTTTTCATTTTATACTCAGATCCACTCAGGCTTCCTTCCTGTAGGAGACAAAGACAAGGTTTTGCTCCATTTCCTGGCAAAACTTTTGAAACAGCCCCCACCCTTATTGCTCCGCCTCCTCAGGTTAAACATTCATGCCAGATTGTGAAACCACACTCTTAAGCCAATCAGGGTTCGGTGCAGACACGTCAGGGATAAAAAGGAGAATGGACTTCCCTTTCTTTGTGCTTCCCTGCCTTATTGTTGCTGGGGGCCCTGCACTCTCCTGTAGAAGTTTCAAGCGTCTGTTTTATTCCCAGGACATCAGTAAAGAGCATTTCTAACACACACTCCTCCCTGTGTTTTAGCTCCAGGCCCAGAAAAGCAGCAAAAACAGATAAGCGATTCCATGGTTGACATCAGGACCAGCTGCACTGTCCAGCCACTGTGGCTCAGTGGTTGAGTATCAACCCATGAATCAAGAGATCACGGTTAGATTTCCGGTCAGGGCACATGTCTGGATGGTTGGCTCAATCTTCAGTAGGGTACATGCGGGAGGCACCCAATGGATGATTCTCTCTCATCATTGATGTTTCTATCTCTCTTTCCCTCTCCCTTCCTCTCTGTGAAATCAATAAAATCATTTTTTAAAAAAGACAAAGAAAAAAAAAAAAAAGATCAGCTGCATTGACAAATGACCCTCTGCCCTGGCATTGGCCAATCAGTAGAGACCATGAACTTGAAAGTGTTACCATAATAAACTTGATGTTAACGAGGGAAAGGAAGCAAAGGGTATGGGGCACAATGCCTGTTTGTTTCACCAGGAAACTATAGCTTCACACCCCAGGGAATTGCAGCATTGTCCCTCCACGGGGATTAATATCCCTCCTCCTCCCCCATGGGGTACCTAATTGTTTGTGTGGGAGAGGGAAACAGGGGGAGGCAAGGACATGCCCAGTAAAGTCAAGGAGAGGAGCCTGACTGTAGAGGCCTGTTGGTCTAACTAGGAAAGAAGTCATTGGACCCATCAGAAGCCCATGAAAACTTGGAAAGTTAACTGGCTAGTTTGAAAAGGTTCCGAGTTAAAAGCCCAGGAGAACAAAGCTCTTTCTCTTGCTTGGGACCCACACTTGCCCTGTTGGTTCCTGTTCTCTCCTGCCCAGGAACATGTGACCTGAAGCCTGAGCAGACTGTGTGGGCTCCCAACGACCTGAAGCAGAAGCTGTGGGCACTGGCCTTTGCCTCGGCCCTGCAGAAGACACGGCTGGATTTTCCATGGTGGGACAGAGCGAGATGGGATGCACCTGGAAAGCTGTGATAGTCTATGGGGAGCCTCCCATGAACCCACCCACACTCTTCCTCACCCCTTTGCCCAGGATGTTCTCCTTGCCTCTCTCTTTCTCCTAAGCTCCAAGAGGCCTCCTCTTGCCTCTGTAACTTATTTCCTGGGTGCATTTTTTTCTATGGGTCACTTTTACCTCTGTGACTTTCTAAATAAACTTTTTTAAAACAAAACAAAACATATTTTATTGATTTTTCAGAGAGAGAGAGAGAAAAAGATAGTTAGAAACATCGATGAAAGAGAATCATCGATCAGCTGCTTCTTGTACACCCCCTACTGGGGATGTGCAACCAAGGTACATGCCCTTGACCGGAATCGAACCCAGGACCTTTCAGTCTGCAAGCCGACGCTCTATCCACTGAGCCAAACCGGTTTTGGCTCTAAATAAACTTTTGAGTCTTGACTCTGAATTCTTTCTTAGCCAGAACTCAAGTACTGAGGTTGCTAAACCAAGGTCCAGGCTGACTCCACTGGCCTAACACCTGGTACCGCTTTGGCGCCAACACAGGGAGCCCTCCAAACATGATCTTCAGAGAGGGAATATGTGATTTATGGTCCTACATACTGGATTCAGTGGATCAACAATATATAAGCTCAAAGTTTATATTTTAAAACATATGTTGGGCTTTGGGCCAAATTGCAAGATCAGAAGTCAGCCCAGTATCCTCACTTAAGGGGGACCGTGTGTGTGTGTGTGTGTGTGTGTGTGTGTGTGTGTGTGGTGGGAGGTAGGCAAGTAGGGAACAAATGCACTTTGAATTGTCTTTCTTAAATTGCAACTAGAATCACATCCCTCTTCCTGAGGCTTTGAAGTTGCAGAGCCTAGAAATCCTAGGAGATGGTGTTAAAAGTTACACATTCCCATTTAAATAACACCCTTTCCTCTAAAATACTTTGGTTTGGAATGAAGAAGCCTGACTGAGTATTCCTGGATCCAGGTTCTGGGTAAGGACCCCCTGGAGAAGGTTGTGGGCTATTTGATATAAAGGTTTGCTTCAATCGTGGCATTATCTGGAACCCTACCTCTCTTCCCCGCCCCCGCCCCCCCCCCCCCCCCACGGCTGAGCCCACTGGACTGGCCACATTCATATTCTGTCCCCCTGTCTTGAGTTTCGGGAGCTATTGGTGTGTTGGGTCCTGTTTTTTTCCAGCTCCTCAATTAAGCTTGTACAGCTTCAAATGACAGAGGAAACCGAGCCCGGTAGCCACTGTGGATACTGCCGCTTGGGAAAGAGCAGAATGACCTTGGACCAAGGAGGGCACTGATGAGCCAGGAACCAGAGCTCAGGCGCTCAGGTAGCCATGGCCACGATGAGCCACAAGAGCCACCGCGTGCTCACCCTGTGGATCCAGAAGACCACTGTGAGCACATAATGGCCGGGGGAAGAAAACGCAGTCTGCTGGGAAAGTCCTTGAGCTATTCCTGCCTTTGTGATGCGGAGACACAGGTCTGGCACACAGTCAGAGAACTCCAAGGTTGGAAGGCACCTTCCTGGCCTTTTTAGCCATTGCTCCCATTTCACAGAGGAGGGCCATGTGCCCCCAGGAGGGAGAGGAGTGTGTTCCGCTGGCGGGTGTGTGAAGTTAACTCTATGCAAACTGCCTGTGCTCCGGTGCTGGCTCTGCCACTGACGAGCTGTGTGACTCTGGACACACGTTACTTCACTTCTCTAGGCCTTGGCTGCCCCCTCTACAAAATCGTGAAGGTAAGAGTATCTGCTCAGAACATCCTTAGCCAAGGGTGGCACACAGCAAATGCTCTCTAAGGGTTGTTCTCATCATCGCCACACATGGGGTGTGTCAGACACAGCACAGAAAACCCTCGCTAGAATTCTTGACTCCTATTCCAGTGCTCCTGAATTATTAACCTTGCAGCTTTCCTAAACTCATATGAACTTAATCACTGAGTATTTCCAAGTGGATGCTATGAAAATGATGTTTTAATTACCTGCTTCAATATGAATAGCAGACTCACTCCTTCTGTTGCTTATTTTCTTAAATTTCCTCCGAGCATCATATCCTCTCCAGGCTAAAAATATAAAACCATGTGCTAGGAGTGACATTAATTTAAGAACGTGCCAGAGAATTGATATAAGCTGTTTTCTTCCAATCTATGACCCCTCTTCTTGTCCCTTGCTGAACAAAATCAGCAGAGTTACATGAGGGATGGGGAAGGGGGGCCTCTCTGTACTCTTAGCTTGGCCTCTACGATGCTTCTGAGGAGGAGTTATTTTCATTCAGGCAGAGTTTCCAGAACATTCTGGATTTCACATATGCATGGCTAGGGACCCCCATCCCAGGTGAGGGGGTCCCCTGTCCTTCCATCCCAGGGCGGAAGCTGTCTTCAGGCTTTGGCAGTGGGAAACAGAACCATGTGAACGGTTCCATCTTTGCTGTTTGAAGGGAGGTATAAACATGAAAGTTGAAGGAGAGAATAATGAAGAGGAGAGTCAAGGGGAATCATTCGCAGCACAACACTGGCATGGGGTGAGGGTAAAGATCCATGGATACAGAGAAGGAGAAGGGACTCACCACGGCTGTGTTGAGTCCTTTATCAGAGACCTGGGGTATTCGGGTGAGCACCAGGAGCACAACTGCCTCTCTTCTTTGCTCCCTCCTCCTCCCCCCAGACTGTGCCAACTCTCCGTGCTGCTGAGCGAGGTCAGGAAGTCCAGAGGGAGCATTAAGAGAGCACGAAGGAGATGATCTGCTATGGGTTTTCACAACCCCTCCCCAAGAGCACAGGATTCAAATGTTGTAACATAAATGCACACATGTATGCAAAGAAGCACTGACTGGGCTGGGCATGTTATGGGCCTAGTGATCTGTTCCCTCGGTTTCCAAGCCCTGTCTGGGCTAGAAAAGCCTTCTGAAGTGGTATTAGAAATCCTGACGCTGAAAACCTGCTCATGGAGCTGAAGTATAGTAAGTCAGTCACCCGGGAGCTGGGATCCATGTCTGTGTGATTTGGATTTTACCTCCGTCCACTTCATACTGCCTCTGTCCTGCCACTCCTCATAGTGTGCTGTGACAGCTTGTTTGGTTGTCTGGAGGTCAGGGACCATGGCACTCTTTATTGCTGTATCCCCAGCAGCTAGCACAGGACCTGGCCTGTAGGATGCACCAGGTAAAGATTTGCTGAGGCAAAGAAGAAAGATGGAAGGGAACAAAGAAGGGAAGGAAGGGAGGGAGGAAGAAAAGAAACCGCTGAGAATGGGTGCTTCATGAAATGCCACGATTCAGAACCATTTACCTGACTGGATGGCGGTGGCTCCCTTCTCTCTCTTCTCTCTGGCTTTTCTGTATCTCCTGGCTCCAAGCCACCCCTTGGCATATGCCTGCAGCACAACCACTCTGCCTATGACTTCTCGCAGCAGCAAATTTAGCTGCTCAACGTGGTAATATTTGAGGAAAACCTGAAAGGAGACATCAGTTTTAGCAATATATAGGGACTTCCAAACAGAGATTCACTCTATTTCAGCGTTTAAATATTAAAAGCATTATCTAAATAAAGTTTACAGTGACTTGATTTATGCTAATGTTATGAACTTCCTGGAAGCAAATACAATTCCACTCCTAAGGCGGAGCCCATCTGTGATCATGGATACAAACATTCGATGTAGATAGGGCTTTAGGAGATCTCAACTATTCTCTAAGCCTGCCTCATTTTTGCCATGAATTCCCTTCTCTCAGCTCCATCTCTACTCTCTTTCCCCACAGCCCCTAATGGAGGTGCCACCCAACAGAACTGACCCAAGCCAACAGAAGCTCCCAGGGAGAGGGCCCTAGATGACCCACAGTGATCGAATTTCTGCCCAGGAGCAGGAGTGTTGCCATCAACACTTATGCTAAGACTGGCTTTGCATGGCAATTCAGAATGGACCGTAAAAACCTGGAATCCCACAGGGATGTGATGTTCTCCCAAATGAGAAGCTACACATGACGAGGCTGTTAATTAGGGTATGCAATAAATAACACAAGAGTCTAATGAAAAATCAACAAAACTATAAAAAGATACTCATTATTGTCATTAATACGATCGGTGTATTTGCATGCAGTGCTGAAATAAGTCGCATTGGAAAAAAGGGACAATTTAAAATAAACTTGAAGATCTCATTCTAGAAATGCTAAGTGGCTCTCAGACTACATGCCGAACAGCAGCCCCCTCCTCCTCTGGTCCTTGAGGTCCTGGGACTCTTGACCCAAGACCGGCTAAGATCATTGTTAGGTTGGGGCCTTATCTGTGAAGCTACACAACTTACAGAGCCATTCATGTCACTGACAAGAGACAAGGGTATGTAATATAGCATCACAGGTGACAATGTGAACAATAAAGAAAGAACTACCTTTGTTTTTCCCAGCACCCAGTGATCTAATCTGGACTTTTCCAAGATAGCAACACAACTCTCTTTGCTAGCAAGAGGCGTTTGATGTGCTCTGAATGCCAAGTAATAATACCTACAAAATAAAAGAGTAAGAAGTATTTTTAGTCTTCATTTCACTTAGTATAGTGGAATTGCTCTGGGTCCGTTGACATGCTTTGTTTTCTAATAGTAAATAATTCTTGAGCACTGATAACAATGTACTACATAGTGAAAGATGTACAATTTATGCTTATTGGCTCTTACCTACTTTCATATTTCCTGCTACGTGCATTTCCCTTTTAATATTGCTTTGTAATTCATATTGAATGCATATATGACATCTTTTGCATGAAAACTCAGAGGATTAATCCTTATAGAAAGCTGAAATTTAGATAGCTCTTCCAGTGAAAATCATCATATAAAATGTTAGAATTACTATTATAAAAATAACGTGTAAGAGGAGAGGAAATCTGCTGATTGAAATACCCAAACTAAGTGTCATACTCATTTGGGTAAGAGTTGGAAAACATAACATCTGAATATTAAAAAAAAAAAAAATCAGTAAAAAACACATAGTAAACAGTCATTACATTTTTTTTATGAGGAAAGACCTAGTACAGACAGAAAAAAATGATTTTCATAGAGATAGCTATATTATCAAGAGAATTAAATTTTTATTTTGTTTTATTAGTGCCACAAAGTTGCCAGTGGTAATTTATTTGTTTGGTCCAAAATTATGCTCTAGTTTTCTTTCCTAGTACTTGTTGCTACACATCAAAAGATATCTTTGAACTGTTCATCTGATCAGATGGTTAGTTTTTTCTCTTGAGAACCTTTGAATAAAAAACATCTAAAATTTTTAAAATTGTAATCCTATTATAACCATGTTAAAACTTCATTTCTTTAATCTGACCTTTCTGACTTATTTTCTTTGATTGAAATGGGCCTTGCCTCATTCAACCTATGAGGACCTTGCCTCATTCACTTACCTCCCTTACATGTCCACTCCCTTAATCACTCACCCCTCAGACAGTGGGGTTCTGGTCATCATCAAATAATCTTAGGAACAAAGCCCCAGGTATGCTGAACACAGTCACACAGTTTCAGTCAAACTAAAGATAACATCTAGGCCTCAGCTGTATTTCAGCTCTGCACCCAGAAAATGGGAATGGCCCCGCCAATCACACCCTTGTGAAACCAGATAGCGTAATGCCATGGCTAACATCAGGACCAGATGCAATGACCAACTACCCCCTGTCCTAACACTGACCATTCCATAGAGACCATGACCCTAACCATGATCAGTTAGACATTAAGATTAATGATTTCCCCGCTTTATAACCCATCCCCTAGGAGCTACCAGTGAGCCAGGTCTTACAGTATTAGCTCACCTGTGACTCTGGGTTTGGTGCCATTTCCTTAAATAAACCTTTACTTTTTTTTTTGCAGCAAACTCCAGTTCACATTTGCTTGGGCTTTGACACCCACAAGTGAACAAACCCCTTTAGTTTGGTGACACCATTGTATAAAGTGTGACTATGCTGTGAAAAGTCCATCTGAAGCAAATAGCAAAAGTGGTCACAGCCTAATCCTACTGACTCTGTCTGCAGAGCCACACATCTGTCTCAAGGTGTGGTGTATGTATGGTCTCCTCAAACAATCACCAAAAACACATTTATCTTCTTGAATTACTTTTAATAAACTTCCATGTTTTCAGATAAAATCGCACAGATTACTTTTGGATTCTAGCTGGTACCCTGGTAAAACAAACAAACAAACAAACAAACAAAACACTTGACTGGGCTCTAGTGCTATTTAGTATAAGGATGAAACTGAAAAGAACCAAGATAAAAGGTCTGTCGGCAAGCGGGGTCTAGAATGACTTTTTGAGAGTCAATTCCACCCCTTTGCTGAAACAGCTTGATGAATTAAATGAGCAAAAGATATGCATAACAGCAAAATAACAAATGTAGAGGTTTGTCTTGGGTTTGGGCACTTGAGAGCATTGCAAAGATCAGTTCTACCCTGAGCTGCCCATTGTGAGTAAAATTCACCTTGCAGATTCGAGTCTGAGCTCTGAGTTAAGAAGACCTCTGTTTCTAACCGTCAGTAAGTTAACTCCATCTCTGTACCCATATCCCCACAAGGGGAATGGGATCTAGATAAATGCTTTTTAACTCTTTTGGAGGAAAACCTGGTCAAATACATTCTTTCTTAGAAAACTGCTCTAAATACAACATGTTGCGTACAATGTCACATAACTCCTGATGGTCCTCCCAAGACCTAAGAGAACCTTTCCTGCTTTAGAACTCTATAGAAGGTGCTACATTTCCCAAGGTTCCATCTTATTAAAACATATAAGCTATCAAAATAGTAAATATCCAATTTTAAACTATCTCTATTAAAAATATTATTTTGTTTTCTGCTTAAAATGTATGTTGCAGAATCTTCAAGAGAGAGTTTGAAAGTGTAACAGGCAAAGCAGTTTTTAGTTTTAGTAAAAGCAACAGACAACTAGAGATGCATCCTCCTGCATTAATTTTTCTTTTCTATTTTCCCACCTCTTTTTCTTTGGCAACCATCAATTTGTTCTCTGTGTCTATAAGTCTGTTTCTGTTTTGTTTTGTTTACTATTGATTTGTGTGTAGATTTTTTTTGTTTTGTTTTTTAGATTCCACATATAAGTGAAATATATAGTATTATCCTTCTCCGTCTGACTTATTTCACTTAGCATAATACTCTCTGGGTCCATCCATGGTGTCGCAAATGGCAAGATTTCTTTCTTTTCTATTGCTGAGAAATTGAGACATATTAATAGATATAAAATATAAAGATATAAATAGATATGGATATATCACATAATCTTTATCCATTCAGCCATCTATGGACACACATATAAATGCTTTCCTCCTGCATTTAAATTATTGAACCACAAACTGGAAGGATCTATAAGGTTCTAGGATATATTAATTTTCTATTGCTATATAACAATTATTCCAAAATTTATGGCTTAAAATTCCAACATTTGTCATTTTATAGTTTCTGAGGGTCAAAAACTCAGGAGCAGTCCTAGCCAATTTGGCTCAGTGGTTAGAGGGTCAGCCTGTGGATTGATGGGTTGGGGGTTCAATTCTGGTCAAGGGCATGTACTTTGTTTGCAGGCTCGATCCCCAGGGCTGGTTGGGGTAGAAATAAGTGCTATAAAAAAACAATAAATCAGATGGACATGGGCACTGGGGTGGTGGGAGTTTGTCCTGGGGTTCAGGAGTGGCAGGGGGAAGGGGTTTAATCAGAGAAAAAGGAGACATATGTAATACTTTAAACAAAAAATAAAATAGGAGAATTTTAGAACTGAAAAAATAAGTCTCGCCGAGACCGGTTTGGCTCAATGGATAGAGCGTCGGCTTGGGGACTGAAAGGTCCTGGGTTCGATTCCGGTCAAGGGCATGTACCTTGGTTGCGGGCATTTCCCCAGTAGGGGGTGTGCAAGAGGCAGCTGGTCGTTGACTCTCTCTCATCGATGTTTCTAGCTCTCTATCTCTCTCCCTTCCTCTCTGTACAAAATCAATAAAATATATTTTAAAAAAAAATAAGTCTCAGAATAAAATGACCTAAATCCCTAAAAAAATAATAATTAGTAATAATAATAATAATAATAAATCAGGGTGGGTGGAGGTAATAAATATATTTTGGGGTGTCTTTCGGCAGACAGCTTTTAGGAACCAGGATAAAGAACAGAACTTAAGCCATGTCATATGAGGAACTGATGAAGATGCTGAGTGCATTGAGTTTGGAAACAAAAAGAGTTTAGTCTAGTAGGGTAGGAAAAAGTTTTCCTTGAGTCTCTTAGAATCACTGATTGGGTCTGAGAATTAGAGTGTGACAAAGACAGATTTATAGGAAAAAGCATACACATTTGTTCAATACTGGAGTCTTTGTAAGGAAATGAACAGAAGAAGAAATAATTAAACCTGAATGTTTTCATGCTAGGCTTGATGAAGAGTAGAGTTCTGGAAAGATCTGATGAAACAAAAGTGTGAGCTAAGTATAGATAACTGGGGGAAACTTACAAGACTTGTCCATTCAGATTCCTCTCTGTCCCCTTTTCTTTGGAGACCAGGATGTTTTTCCTCCAGGTAGAGGGAGGCCACCCCTCACATAAGGATTTTCGGATCTGCTTCAGAAGGTCAGAAAGTCCTTCCTGCACATGCCATTTCTCAAATTCCTCCAGGCTGAAATACTCAATATATCCAGGTGTCATAATATGGGGTGCTTTGTCCTGAACCCTGTTAGTCTCTTAAACCGTCATGTGCAGACCACCCACATCAGATCCACCTGAGTATTTCATCAAAGATATGGATTCATGGGCCACACCCTAAACACAGAATCACAATCTCTGTGATTAGAAGTAGAAATCTATATTTTAACAAGCTCCTGTGCTGATTTGGATGTGGTAAAGAGTTTGAGAACCATTGACCTAGGAAAACACTATAATTGATTGCCATCAAGTAGATAAGAAAGATGATTTATTTTTTTAAAGCCAGAGGATAGAACTGGGGTGGATGCATAAGAGCTTCTGAAAGATGGTTTGGGTCAAGGTTAGGAGGATCATGGTTGTGATTAAACACCTAAAAATATGGAATTGCCTCCCTCAGGAGCCAAAGAGTGAATTCCTAGATTCTGGGACTGTTCAATGGTAAGTGGATTGACAAGGTCAAGAACATTGTTGAAGCAATTCTAGTTTTAGCTAGGTAGTTAAACTGAATGACCTTTTAAGATTCTTTCCAACAATGATGCTATGTTGACTTGCCCCTTGGCCTAAACAATTGCTTCTGTGATTTTTAAAACTGATTTCTCTCATTAACCAAATACTGTTACTCTGACAAGTCTTGGTTTATGTCATTATACTTGGATAAGTTGAAAGACTTAAAAAATGTCCCTAGGGAATCTGATTTGGGCTCTTAGAATCTCAACAATGATCTTTTGTGCAATCTCTTCTCCTCAACATACACCGGGAATGGTGGCTCTTGATTGGCAGTATCAACAGCACCTGAAACTTGCGCGCGCGCGTGCGCGCGCGCACACACACACACA